GTATTTCTGATTCTGATTCCTGGGTGATGGGACAGGTGTTGTGAATGAAACAGTGCCCAGCTTGAAAGAGCTCCTTTGTGTCGCTGCATTGATGACTGAAAGACATCTTCTGCCTCCATTTATCTGTTTACTACAGTGTGTTGAATTCATGTTAATGTGGATTTAAAGACATTTCAATTAGTGGAAAGAATTGCAGGAGGAATATTTTAAAAAAAAAAGTCTAATCGACCCAAACTTTTGCGACCCCCATGCAATACCTCCGCTTTAGAGGATGTTTTAGTCTTCTTTAGTTTTTCAGACAGATTCTGTTCAAGTCATTTCTTTATTAGGACAGATATATGGCTGAGACAATTTAATCTGGATTAATCTGGTTATTGAAATAATTATAAACTAATTTGGTTATTTTAGCTATTTATTTATATATATATTTGAGTTTTTACAGCACTAGTGACTCGTTTTCTCGACAGTAGGCTGAAAGGAAAGAGGGAATGAGAGAGGGGGAGAGACATGTGGCAAAGGACTCAAACAAAGGATTCAAACCTAGGGCCTCCGTACGTGGGTCGTACGCACTAACCACTGTGCCTCCTTCACGTCCCTAAATTGGGTATTGAATAAATTACAAAATTGTGGTCGCTAAACTCAGCTTGTAATCCCAAATATGGTAATGTAAGAGACTATACATATAATTCATTCATTTTTAAAACTATTTTTTTCAAAAGTAACTTTAAATTATTTATTTCATAATTTTCAAACGACCTCTTGGGGAAAAGTGGATCTAAACCTCCTGTTTGAACCCAAGCTGAGTTTGTAGCTCAGTTGATCCTTCCAGGGAGAGAAGGTCAGAAAATCCAGTTTGCAAGATGACTTCCTGCCGAGAGGTAAAGACAAAAAAACTATGTTAAGACTCAGGTTGACAAAACCTCAGTTTGACTCGGCAAAACTCAGCTTGGCTAGAGTACCCAACACTGGCAAAATTATTTATTTTATAATTTTCAAACGACCTCTTGGGGAAAGTGGATCCAAACCTCCTGTTTGAACCCTAGCTAAGTTTGTAGCTCAGTTGATCCTTCCAGGGAGAGAAGGTCCGAAAAATCCAGTTAGTAGGATGACTTCCCAAAACTGGCAAACACTCTGGCGTCGAGGTAGTGGCAGTCAGCAGCTTAAGAACACCCCGTTAACGAGGAAACCATCAGCAGGTGTGTGAGGAGGCGAACCAGAACCAGGCGCCTCCTGGTGGAGAAAGGGAGACAAACACAGAAACACAGACACAAAGACAGGAGTCCTGACACTAATGTTGATTCATTTTTGAATGAAGAGGCTGTGACTTAATTTTAAACTGCTAACGACCTTTTAACAAAATGTAAATGGTGAGCTGCTCCATTTATGACGCTAACTTTAATGTTGTTCTTCTAGTTGATGGGGGGTGGTCCCTGTGGTCCCAGTGGTCTCAGTGTTCATCTGAGTGTGACTCTGGCATCCAGACCAGGGGGAGATTCTGCAGTTCACCAACCCCACAGCATGGGGGCAGTAACTGCACTGGGCCCCACATACAAACCAGGGACTGCAACTCCCATCCCTGCTCAGGTACCCTACCAGCTAAAGATATCTGTAGAGGTTCATCTTCACTTCATCACACATTCATTGTGAGTCTGTGTGGTTTTAGGTGTGTGTCCAGAGGGTATGATGTACATGACCGTAGCGGAGTGTGAAGCTCAGGGAGGGGCGTGTCCTCGAATATGCATGGACATGACCTCTGCGGAGGTTCAGTGTGCCACCTCCTGTTATGACGGCTGTTATTGCGGCCCGGGCCTCTACCTGTTTAACAGCAGCTGTGTTCCTTTGGCACAATGCCCCTGTTACCACCAGGGAGAGATGCACCCAGCTGGCGCCTCCGTGCCTTCGGATGCCTGTAACAACTGGTATTCCTCTTCAATTATTCTCTTTTTTTAGTATTAATGTTTATTTAGACCTACCTATTATCTATTCATGTGCCATATTGCTTTCCTACAGTACCTGCATTGATGGAGAAATGGAGTGTGGGGCTGTTCCATGCCCAGGTTAGCAGCTTATCACCATTTTTATCGCATTTTATCTTGTGGGGTCCAGTTTTTTGATCTTCAACTAATCCTTATTTTGTGTCCCAGTGGACTGCGGCTGGAGCAGCTGGACGCAGTGGAGCGCGTGCACTCGAACCTGTGACGTAGGTATAAGACGGAGATACCGCTCAGGAACCAATCCGCCACCGGCCTTTGGCGGCCGTCCCTGTAAAGGAGACAGAGTCGGGGTGGACACCTGCAGCATCGAGCCATGTCTCGGTGAGACACGGATCGCTAATGTTTTTAATGTGACGTTGGATGTATGTGTAGAAATAAAAGAGTACAGGTTTTGTGGTTTGTCTAAAGGGATAAGAGAACCATGGAGTATGTGGTCGGAGTGTTCTGCAACATGCGGAGGAGGTTACAGGACCCGGACCCGAGGGCCAATCAGAATCCACGGCACACCCCAGCAGTTCAGCGCCTGTAACCTGCAGCCATGTGGTAAGACTGGTTTGGATTAATGTTCATAATCCCTGGAATAAACATCCATTTCTGGATTGTACTTTTTTTAGGAATTCAATTTCAATTCAGTTTATTTCTATAGCACCAATGCACAACACACGTCATCGCAAGGCACTTTCCAGTTCACCAGATCATCCAGTCAGATTATATCAAAGTTTTTTATCTAAGGAAAACCAGTTGATTACATCGACTCATTGACTCGAATGCAACCTCTCACACTAAGCATGCTTGTAGCGACAGTGGAGAGGAAAAACTTCCTTTTAACAGGAAGAAACCTCCAGCAGAACCAGGCTCAGTGTGAGCGGCCATCTGCTGAGGCCCACTGGGGTTCAAGAAATGTGTTCATGTTAACAATAATGGAACAAAATTCACTTCATATTTCTTCCTGGAAGTGATTAAATGAGGGAATGCTTCCTGTTTACAGATAAACCTGCCTCTGTGAGACGATATATAAAAAATATATTTTAAATCCTGTTACTCATAAATGTAATCATTTTTTCTTTTCCCCTGACTGTTTTTGTTTGACCTGTTTTGTTTTCAGGTGAGAGCAGCACTTGTCCTCCAGGTCAGCAGTGGACGCAGTGTTTGCTGGGTCCTGTCACCTGTACGGATCTCACATTGGACCTAAGCAGGAACTGTACCCCAGGTTGCCAGTGTCCACATGGGACCGTACTGCAGGTCTGTTAAGTCTTCTTATTCATAAAGCCAATTTTAAACATCTCACTTGTCATAAAACAGACAGATGGAGCCGGTATTCAAGGTAGTCAGTAGGAAAATTAAAAAAAATTATTAAAACAAAAACTTTAAAGGAATTAAAACTGATCCTCCCCGCATTCCAAGCAAAAAACCCTGAGGACCCCGCAGGCGAGGAACAGTGCACGATCAGGAGACGAGACAGACAGAAAACCCTCTTTCCACTGGCTGCCGAGATCCAGGACACGAACCGTGGAATAAACTGAACACACTCAACAGACAGACTAAATCAAAAAAATGATTTGGCCCCGAATGCTCAGACCGAACTGAATATAAAGCCGAGGAAACAGGTGAATGAATTAAATGATAATTACAGCAGGCAGGGAGCGGCAGGTGAATGAAATAAACAATTAAGGTGGAGGAATCAGGCCAGATCATTACATCACTAAAGTCACTTACAACCTATATGAAGAGAAAATGGAAAAGAATCATAGAAAGAAACAAAAGACTATATGGAAGTAGATCGGCTGCAGCGTTTCTGCAGAACTTTGTAATGTACTTGTCCAGGCCGGATGAAATGAAGACATGGATACAGGGTCTGTTTCACCTTTAGAATAAGTTTCAAATAAGATGTGAAGGACGCTTTAAAAGCAATTCTATTAGAGATCAGACTGAACATGTTTTGAATGTCAAAAAAGGCTTCACAATTTAACCTGGAGCTATAAGGTATGATTGAGACAGTAGATTGGCTTTATTTGCTGTTGGCGACGGTCAAAACAACTGAGCGGCTGATTAGGGGAATCCTTGTTGATGCACTCAAAAGTTCAATCCAAGATGAGGTTCCGATCCTTTTAATTTATTGATCTTCAAAACGTGCAATGCAGCATGCAAGAAAAAACTAATCCACAAGTTCAAGCCATGATCAAGCGCAAAAGAGAACAAAAAAAAAAAACATCCAAAGCTTAAAGCGGTAAGCAAAAAGTAGACATCCCCCATCACCCACTCACTGAAACTCACCAGGTGAGCAACAGGTGATCTTAAAAATCACTACTGACACCACGTGATCAAAACTATGCCTATTCACCACAATTTGCTTCGATGACTGGGCTAAAAGTAGATTTAGCACGTTTTTGAGCGAGAAAGTACATCTCAAAATACAAGCCACTTGGTCACTTCACCGGGGTTATGATTCTACTTTTAAGTTTTCTGTTTTTCTGAGCGCAGAGCTTCATATAAAAGCAGAAGGCAGTCCTGGGAATCCCTAATGAAAGTTCCAGGTGCTTGGGGATTTCTTACTGTCGTTCATAGCGACTGAAAGTGTATACAAAGTGTTTGTTAAGTTTGTGGTAAAAAACAAAAAAAAATAAAATAAAATTGGGAAAGTACCAAAAAAATAATGAAATATTTATCAAACATTTTTGGAAATATTCTGAAGTTCATTATCAATGGCTTCCTCTTTGTCCCCTTCAGTGGCCTATGGACGGCCTCGTGGAGGGAGAAATATCTTAAATACCTTAAAACCTCAATAGTTAATTTCTTGGTCATTAACAGTCAGGAACCT